GTTCTGGTTAAGAACGTGAGAACTGATTATAAAAAAATAAATCTTTACATTAAATTAATTGATTTTTTTTCTACATTATTTAAGAAATCAACAGAAAGTTTTAATAATGGCATAAAAAATGTCACTGAATGTATCTCAAGCAAAAGTATGTGTAAATAGCTCACCAAGAAGTACTGTAATGCAGTTAAATGTATAATACATGCAAAAGTTTTTATTTCTCTAAAATGTTGACAACAGAGGAGACAAATACATGTAAACAGATAACAACGTAAAAATAAATTATATTGGTTCTATCTTACTAATTTCATCATCTAGTTTTTATGAAAAAATATGTCCATGTACAGAAAAATGGAGCAGATAAAGACCATTAATTCAGCAGAAAATTAATATGTCAGTACAATAATATCTACAGCAATAAAATCTTGGGGAAAAATTCTTATTTGCCTGTAAATTGACTTCAGAACCCTTGATAAAGGCTTGAAATGCTGCCGTGTGCATGAAGATTTGGCTGATATTTCTGAAATCTGATTGGAGGATTTCCTTGGTGTGTTAAAATCACTAGGCTTAAATCCATTTAATAAGAGTGAAACATAGCAGAATATCAATGCATTGTTATCTTTTTTTTCTGAATCCCTGACAAGGTGGAAGTGACTGGTCTCTCTGGCTTTGAAAATAGCCTTCTAACTGTTAAAAGAGAAACTGATGTCAGACAAACCCAAAGCAGAACAGAGAGAAGGAAATAAATCATCAAGCAGGTCTAGAAATTATGACTTAAAAATACATTGGAGCTGCAAATGTAAACATACTGGAGTTGTTTTCTCTTTTAACATTTACAGCAAAATATTTTCTCTAAATATTACTGACTGTTTTCTTTACTTTAAAATATCACATTGCAAGTGCTCTAATTCTAGAGTAGTCCTCTCTTGTTTTTTGGGATTTGTTAACGGTACTGAAGAACTGATTCAAGCCTAAAATTAATGATGATTATTGTGAGCCTTCATGATTTTACTATGCTTCTGTGGAAACCAATAACACATTCCCTGGTGCATACCATGAGCTACTTTCACAGGCATACAGATAATTATAGGCTTAGTCAACTGGTAAATAGCAACTAAAGAGAAAAATGTGAATAATTATTGGAAACTACTTAAGAAGACTTATCAGCTCCTTAAAATACACAACTGTCTAAAGTCTTGTGTATTATTTACAATTATTTGCAGAGAATGAACATCTCTACATATATTTCAATCAAAACATTCAATTGTTCACTCTCATAATATCCTCCTACTCCAATCTAATTTTTTCTATCTTCAGTTTTCACATTTTCTGCTGGAGTGGAAAGTCCACTGTTATGGGTCTCTTTCCTGTAGAATGCGGTCTAATTACCCACTTATGTTGTTCTTGTTGGACTGAGCTCCTCAGATTTTTCCTTCTAAGGCTTTGTTCAACCCTTTAATGAGCCTTGTTGCACTTCTCTGAGTCCTCCAGTTCACCAGTTTCTGAGAAATGCCATTCCCTCAGCCAGCAACAGCAGAATTAATACATATAGGGATCACCTTAAGTGTTTAGACTGTGCCCCCAGAGTGGACACAGATCTTTCAGAACATCATCCACCAGTATTTTAAGTCTTTACAAGTGTCACTGCTTTCCCATGAAAATCTTCTGCGTGCTGCTATGAGAGATATTCCAATATTTGGCCACACTGAAACTCAATCCTACACAATATGTTTACATTAAGTTGATCTGTTTTTTGGTTATCTGTATTTGTCTGACTTCCTCCTAGCTAAACACTTCTCTTTGATGCTATCTGTGGATGCCAAAATCCCCTTTTTTTAACTGATGATTTTTCTTTTTCAACAAAAGCTGACAAAATATTTAAATTATTGTCTGATTACTTTTTTCTTTCCTAGACTCTCTACTAATCACCTAATTGAGGAGTTATTAAAAACTAAAAATAATATTGACATACAGATCCGTTTTTTTAATACCCTGTTTAACTAGTGTTTAAACCATATGGAAAGCAGTACACTAATATTATGTTGCTCAAGTTTCTTAACCCTAAGGTGTAATGTAGAATGCATTACAAAATTCTAATGCATTATCACTTGTGCATCTACCAGATAAACTATTTTCACATAAAAGTGAAATTAAGCTGGTTTGGAATACCTATTTCTCAAAACTATGTGGGAAGTAACATTTATTACATTAACATCTTATTAAGAGCCAGATGCTCAATTTCTGAAGCAGCACAACAATCATTACTATTTTCAAATTTAATGACTAAACAGGAGCTGGGAGCTCATCTTTGGAAGTCTTTGCTGCCAGTATATATGAGTTTAGATGAGATAGTTGCAGTTACTTTCCATTTGCTTAAAAGAATTAGGTTAAGAGAAGCTGCTTAGATGGAAGAATTTATGAAACAGTTTTAAAATTTCTGAGTAGACAGTATAAAGCCCCTACACCAGGACACACTGAGCATACAAACTATCACTACTAGTTCAAATCACTAGCTAGTGATCATGGAACAAAGACTCTTTCCAGTAACTGAGATGCTTTAAAACAAAACAAACAAACAAAAAAATCCCAGCCGATTTTCAATGGATCTTGTGTCACGATTTTACCGTACATTAAATGTACTTTCATACATTAAATGTACTACAGTAAAATTAAGTGATGTTTATTAAGCACTACAGGAAACATACTTTGAGAGGAGGTGAAAAGTGATGTGCCATGACTCCTTCTCCAGATTTTCCCATGGCAGGATACACTGAATACACACTTAAAACAAGATAGTGGGTAAGTTTAGTTTTTTTACAGATCTCCTGGCTAAATTCAGCTCTCTGGGTATGACTGAGAACCTATTCTTTTAATTTCTGATTGAGAGCAGCAATGTTGCAGGCAGCCGGACAACTCTGGGCTCTTCCTGTTTTACTCATCAATGTCAATCAAGGCCAAGCACTGGACCTGCAGAAGCTGCAAGAACTTGTGTGTACTGACCAGCTGTGCTTTGGCAGCTGCATCCCAATGACACTTTCCAGTGTTTTGGTCTGGAACTTTTGGCCACAAAATGGTTTTGTACTGATAAACTCATAGAGGTATTTTTTCCATATTCTTTTGCATTTCACTAGCAGAGTGATTTCCATGCATTTGTCCATCTGATGCATTCCAATGCAGTGCTCTGCTACTCTAGTCCCAATACATTAGACAACTGTTTTATTACATTAGTGAATATTAGACTCATAAATTTAATGCAAATTTAATTTTTCCCAAGACCAAGCATCTTCTGTGTACTGTGTAACCTAAAAGCAACAGGCCTTCTGCTCAAACTATTTGAAACTTTGATTCCATCAACAATTTAAACATAGTCTTTAATGCATTTTAAAAGTTAAATTATACTTTTTGAACACATTTATGGCTTAAAGGGTTTTTTTCCCCCCTAACTGATTGCATTTTCAGGACAGGAAAATTCATTCCTTATGGGCAGTTTTATCTTTGAATCCTCTGCCTATCTGTAAGCAGGAGAGTGTCTTGTGGATTTTCTTTAATTCCAATTCCTTACTGAAGTTATACATTTAAACTAAAAACAATCATTTCAGTGCCAATTTTGATCTAACTTTTCCAGAGCTGGTGAAATCTTGATGTGAGGTGAATGTATACTGGTATAAGAAATTAGTCACTTTCCTCAATATTCTTCCTGATGAATTTTTCTTTGATCCTATTAAGACTTTCAAAGCTTTAACATTAGTTAAAGATCCTCAGAAGAAAGCAATCTGAAATAACATATAAAGGAAAATTATTAGACTTTTTCCTAATTACGGTTTGAGGCTCATTTAACAGGCATCAGGGGAATGAAGCATTTTAAAATAAGCTGAGAGGAATTACAGCACTTAGAGGCTGTATTTCTGCCTGCTAGAGATTTAGTTGTGATTTCAGTGAACTCTTGTGGTAAGTGAGAAGATGCTGCATATGTACCAAAGGGACAGAGACCCCAGGAAAAATACTTTGGCAGAAATCTTGTGGGAGGAATTGTGTATGTAGCATGGGAATGTGCCCTGACATTCAGTGCACAGTCTGAAAAAATCCTTTTTCTTATCTAACCTGAGATTCCTGAAGGGACAACTTCTTCAGAAATGAGTTGTGTCTCTGGAAGGATGCTCATGAGATGTACACTGCCAAAAGCTGCAGCAAAGTATCTGTAAGTATCTGGGAGGATCATGGAAAAAGAATAATTTTATGGAAATAAAAAGCTTTACCATGTGAAGTTTGTGGCTGGCACTTCATTATTCTATCCATTTTGCTTTGCTTTTCTAGACTAATATCTAATATTGGTCCAGTTATTAAAAGTTAAAGATAATTTTGACATACAAGCTGGCTTACATCTTCTGATCCAGAAACTCCATGGAGATGTCTAGGTAAAATTATATTGGTTTTATGTATTTTCTCAGATACAGTAGAATGCTCAAGATGTTTTAATAGTATGCTGTATTTTCAATATTATTTTCTTTCATCATTCTATTTTCCCTGGCATCAGAATTCTATCTCTTATTGAGGTTGAGTTTTTTTGCTATATAGAATTCCATTTCCATCTTCTGTGTTGCTGTTTTTCCTGACCTCACCTATGTTTTCCTTTTTCTCATATAGTTTGTAGTTTGCAATCTCAGACTGTCTTTGCGAAAAAAGATTCAAATTTAGATGACTCTTAGCCAAAGATTAATTGCAATATAATATTGTTGCTTATCTTCTTTAAAACATTTGTAAATAATAGTGATGGCATTAGAATGGACCTGGGACAAGAAGAAATACAGCAGTCTCCACCCACCTTGAAAGAAACAGTGGATATTTCAGGACAAAGAGAACATACATATGGGACGTAAATTATCTGGCATAATTCATGGCAAATGTTTTTTCCTGTTTTAATCATATGTAATAAATTTGCAGTTATTTCCTTATCCTAAAAGTCCTTGAAATTTTTATTACAGAAAAGAGTGAAAATTACTTACCTTAGCTCCTTTCCATAGTATTCAGCTGCATTTTCTTTAATTTTCTAATATGCAAGGCTTATTCCAATCTCTGCAGCTGTTAGTCTAATTGGATGATTTCCTGTTTGAAATGCAGAATAATTTAAAGTGACTAGCAGTTGTTCAGGGAACCTCCCTTTCTAGGACATAACTTAATCTGACATATTCAACGCTCATCAGAGATTCAACATCTTTTCAAACTGATTGCTGCTTCCTTCATCACACTCCAAGTTCCTTGACTTCCATTTAAGTCCTCCAATTCAGAGTCTGATTATTCAAATGAAACTAAGAGGAAAAATCAGCCTTTTTTTTCTTTTTTGAATGTGCTTCCTCAAAATGTATACTGCATTCAGTCCTCTGTAATATTTGCTAGATAGCTCATCTTCTGTGATGCAACAGCAAGCTCTGTGTGGAGGGTTTTATCTTTGCTGAGATTAAGAACAGTGATGTGGGAGAAATTTATGTTGCATATGGTTAATATCCACCAGAATTTACCATAAAAGTTTAATCATCAAAATTTATTTTTTTACAAAAAAGGAACAACAATTTCTCTTGATTCATGAATTTCATTAAGGCATAAGTTTTGCAAGAAGAGAAAATAATAGTCAAATGTTATTTCTTTAATAAAAAAATTTTAGAGAAATTTTAGAGAAATGTTATTTCTTGAAACATAAAAATCTGAGTCTGATTTGTCAGGCCCAAAACTTCATGTGAGTCAGGTCACTGTGGAATCTGAAAATGCTGATTGTGTGAGAGATTATTCCCCTTACTCAGACAATTACTCAAGCACATGTTCCTCCAAGGAACCTAATTATACTCCTGATAAAATTCTTCTTAACTTCTGACTTGTTTGCTTGTTTTGGTTAATTTTTATTTGATTTTGTATTTGGCTGTTTTTATTATTTTGCTGAATTGTTCACGTCTACAGAATTTTTCTCTTGGTAGGATAAGACACAATTTTTCTTGAGATCCCCTTGAAAAAACATGAAAGTTTTCCTTAAGTAATTTTTCATTATTGTGAAGGATGTGATTTGGCTTAAGAATTATACCTGCAGAATAAGATTTGAATAAAGGAAAAGGAAATTTGAGTAAAGGTAAAGGAAAAAACATTTGCAAACAGACTATGTAATAAACTCCAAAGCAGGAAATGAGGTTTCTTTTGTGTAGAAGAATCTGGAAGGCATGTACTGAACCATAATGGGAACAGTTCGCTTGAGGTTTCATCTGGAAGATTTCATGCTTTTTAAGAATGTCTGTGACATGAGCAGCTCACTCATAAAAATGACTGGAGGACAGAAGAGACAAGAAATATTTCTTAAGATGTACACTGAATCCATGGATATAATTTGAACTCAAACAAATACAACAGATTAAAAATTCAAAATAAATAAATGCATTCTAATACAATGCTTGCATGGGTGTTCATGGTGAAGGAGATCAAAACACCTCTCCAAGGAAAATTTTCTAGCTGGTTATATTTTCTGGCTGTCAACTTGGCAGACTGATGATGAAAAGCAACAATCCTCTCCTGTTTCAAGCTGCCATTCCCTTTTTACCTTACATTGCTATGAGGCAAGGTTTTCCTCAGAGGTAGCAATGAAAAAGGAGTTCAAAAGTTGAAAATAAAATCTGCCTGGGGTATAAAATATTGAGGGGGATTTTCTTCGTTATTCCTGATTGGTAGAATATGTTTCAACTGTTGGCCATAAGTGGGCAAGTATATATGCAGTTGCACACAATTTTCTGATTATTTTAATGTATTTATTTCTGACTATAATGACTAAATTTTACCAGGTCAAAGCTAAAAAAACCCACAAAAACCCTAATTCCTTTTGTTGATGCTCAAGCATAGTGTTTGCCTGAATAATGCACAGGCAGAGGGTGTGCAGAAATCTCATTGTTTCTTTGTCATCTTGAGCAGTCAAACTTTTTTAGTTTTTCATTTGTATTGATTTCTGCATGAACTCAATTGTGGCATCATGCATAATGAAAGAAAATGTTCATGCTATATTGAGGCATGGATTAAAATGCATCCCATGTAGATACCAAGTGATGTACTAAGTACCTTCAGGCTCCCATGAAGGGACTGCACCTTGCTACTCCAAGAGGAGAAGCACAGAGCTGTGCCTATGTTTGGACACCGTGACAAGATCAGCTGGAATGCATCATCTGCAAGGAAAACAATTGGCAGTGAAGTTCCAGAGAGTTTTTTGTTTGTTTGTTTGGGCTTTTTGTTGTTTTTTCTTTCTTTACTTCAGGCTAATTCTACTTTGGCCCGATGGATTGAGTGACCACATAGAGTGCACCAGCCATTCTCCTGGAGCTCCTCTTCCAGTTTAGCTTCCTCTAAGGTGCTATGGTTCCAGATCTCCAAAGACCACTCCTTGAGAATCCAGAGAAGAGCATGAATCTCACTTTGGAAGCACACTGCTGACCCAATCAATTTAGATCTAACCTGTTAGTCCAGTGTTCTACATGATAGCAATAGTGCATTGATACTGAGACCTCTATGTAATATTTCAGGACTGTTCTTGTGAAATTAATCATTCTTTAATACTCTGCTATATTCTCTTTTCACTACATTCAAGTGTCAAGTGAACTGGATTGATACCCTTACTGATGACTGGGGCTAGTATTTTGGCTTTCTATTTCTGGAAAGGAGATAAATGGCATTTTCTTAGGAAAAATTCTTATTAAATAATTGGCTTTTAAAAATTTTCATCAGTTTCTTTTGTACCTCATAATTTTTATGAAGCATATTAGAGATGTGGTTGTGCCTGGCAAGATTAGTCACAAGACATTTAGAGCTAGTTAATTAACAGTGCTTTATAGAGTTTTTATTTAGTAAAATTAGAGGGCATTGCTTTAGTCTGTTTAAAGGATCCATTATCTTGCAGCTAGAGTCCAGTAATTTGTCTTACATAAGCAGTTAAAAGTGAGTTGCAATCTCAATATAGCAGTTTGGCAGAAGTGCTAAATATAGGTATCATCTAAATTCACTGGAAATGGTGATTGTTTTTCCTAGGAACACAGTCCAAAAGTGAACAAAAATGAAAGGGGAAAATTTCCAGCAGGCCTTCTTGGCTCAATTCATAACAGCTATGTTAATCAGAGCTTTGTTTTGCACTGCCTGCAATTGCCTTTCCACAGTCAGTACAAAAGTTAGCAAAGCATAAGTATTCATGTGACAAGAATAACTCCCCGAGGAGTAGGAGCTGAAGCTGACCTTCTGAGGAGAGGACGTTGAACAACTGCAAATATAAGTACTTGGGGAAGGCTTGTAGCATGGTAATTCTTGTAAAAGGCTAAGGTATTTGTGTCCAGTTCTCATGGAGAAGTACTTCATTTGTTTCTGTGCACCATGCAGTCTGAAGAAAGAAAGAAAATATCAAAATGTCATATATTTTTACATGAACACTATCTCAGATACCGTTTTGTTTCTGTTTTCCCTCAAGTCTCTGAAGTTCCTTGTTATTACCAGAAATTCCTCACTTCAGAAATTGCTGACCTCACTATAGTGAGGCTACACAAATTGATCAGAGCAGAGACACAAAAAAGTATCCCAAAAAAAGAGCAGGGGCAGAGGCTTAGAGTGTTGAGGAACGTTTTGGTTGAGCTCCTTTGTTGTCTCTCAGCTATTGAGTGGGTTTCATAATAAGCTGAGAAAATACTATTTTTATAATATCATAAATATAATAAAAGGACCTTGCCCTGAAAAATCAAGATGAGAACAGCACTGATCCTAAACTGGCTGCTGTCAATAAACTTGTGCATGCCTATAACAAGGTATGCTTCTGAACTGTGATACATCTCAATGCTTGAAATTAGAATTTAAATTCCATTGTAAATAAAGCAAAAAGAATCTGCAAGGTAGTAAAATAACATGCTCAGAGATGCTTGAATAAATAAAGAAAAAAGCAAGTGCAAGATAATAAAATAACCTACTCAGGGACATTCTAATAAAATTAAAAAGGCACAGATAGCAAGCTAGACAAAAATGAGGCATATTGTCTGCAATGAGGTAATTATGTTTTAACAGATGAGGTGAGAATCCCTATTCTGAACATGATGGACGTATTCCATGATCCCATAATAAATTCCCTCCTCCTTTTGTGTGTGTAGTTGTTTCAGGCAGGAACATTTCTGGAATGAAGAGAAGGGCACTCAATCTAAAGCAAGTAATATAACAGATAAGTAAGAAAAACTATAATCAGAAATACAGGTTTTCAAAAGGAAAGATGGTAGAAGTAGAAAAGCTGAACAAAGAAAGACAAAAGAAGAGAGGTACTCTGGGTGGAATAGACAGCAAAGTTTTACCAAATAAAACAGCTTTCAAAATAAAATTCTGATAGAAAATCTCAAGGATCTTATTAATTACTACTAGGAAAGGACCTGTATTCACTTTACCAAAAATTGTGTGGCATTTATAAGGTATGCAATTTCTGCACTTTTTACACAGAGTAACATCAAAAGTATGTAGTGTCCTGTTGATGGTTCTTTACTCCTTAAACAGTGTCTGGTGGTTCTTAGGTGAAAAATAAAAGCATGCAGGGAAAAACAGTCCCTGAAAATCACCTCTGCAAGTAAGATGATCTCTTGTGCCTGAAACATATTAAAGAACTGGAAGATGTTCGCAGCAGTAAGAGTTCAAGAGTACTTCTGTTCATCAGCTTTCTCTGAGCTACTTTCCCAAATAGCACAACAAACTTTTAAATAAGCAGAAATTAAAATATTTGGTATTTTTTCCTTTTTGTTATAGTTGATCCAGGATGTTTTCCTTTTTCTCACTAAGCCATTGGAATACTGTATCATTAATGTCTTTTTTGAAAAGCAAAATTAAAGGTTAAAACCTCTAAATTAAAATTAAAGGTTTAAACCTCTAAATCAAGCTATACATTTATTAATTTACTTAAAAACTGAAATCTCCTCACAAACTTATTGTCTTTGACTGCAGTTCATTATTTTCCTAACAGACTCCTCTGGATTTGTCATTTGCAGACTTCCACTAAAAATGTGTCCCTTAGACTTTTGCTGAAGACACTACTGAATGTTCCCATGACAATTTGCAACAGCAGGATATCTTTTGGCCTCTGTTTTTGATATTGAGCTTAAACTACATTATTACCTAGTAAATTGAGCTATTGTTAGAAATCACTGGAATATGACAGCCCCTATGACAATTTCTGAGACTTTAAAATGCAATTTTTCAGCTTCAAAGAGAGAGAAAAATCTTGTTTTTCTGGAAAAAATGATTGGTGTAAAAAGGTTTATTTTTGTTTCCAATTTTCATCCTGACCTCTCCCTGTGTCTTCAGCAGTGATCAGAGAGCCTTCCTGGAAAGGCAAAACATTTCTTTGGCTAACATCACCAAAATCTTTGTGTCTAAGAAAAGGCTGTCTTTGCAACCTTTCTTTCTGACAGACAGAGGAACAATATTCTTTAGCAAAAACATTGCTGCAACTTTTTTAGTTTACTATTCTTCTGCTGGAAAGCAAGTTTCTTTCAAAACTTTATAGAAATCTCTCTTCAAAAGAAAGACTTGTCAATAATATTTTCATTTAGTAAAATCAAATAAAAAATAACAAGACAAAGG